AGTCGCTTAACCAACTGAGCCACCCAGGCGCCCAACCCCATAACTTTTAAAGATCTCTTTATTTCTTCCACCCCTGTATCTCACTTTTAGGCATAATTCACTTTACATTCTCTTCTCTGGTTTTTATTTTCTTCATTACAAAACACGCAGTTGACTGGCTTAAGGCATCTCCTAGGGGTCTGGGACCATGCTCCCTCCCCTCCCCCCCCCCCACTGGGGGTGGGAGACTACTGTATTAAGGTCTGCATTAGAAAAATAAGGTGGTTTGATGTTAGAAGGACACATGTGATATAGCAAATACAGCAAAATGTTAACAATTGCAGAATACAGGTGGTGGATGTCTGTGTTCACTGCATAGATGTTTCCACTTCTCTGTATGTTCAAATGTTTTCATACTAAGAAGGATGGACTTAGTATACTAACACCTTGCAAGAAGGCTACAGGAGCCTGAAAGCAGGAGTCTAGGGCAGGCACACCCTGAGGGTTCACAGAAAACCTCGAAGCAACCCACCGCAGCTTCCCAGGCACGGGAAGCTGACCCTCCCGAGCCCTGGCGCCGTGGCTCTCCTGCTCGCCCGGTCTCAGTTCTCAGCACACACTCCATCACCTGGTTCCTAGAACTCAGATTGCGCAGTGGTCACGTCATCATCGACCAGGGCTCACAGTTACAGCGGCAGAGGCCTCCCTAACTCTCCCTCATCTCCAGCCTAGCCCGCTGCCCCTCACCTCCCCGCCCCGGTCCCCAGCCACACCTCGCCGGAAACGTTTTCATAATCCTCTCAAGCTCCGGGCCAGCGGCGCCGCCAGCAACGGGGCCCGATCATATAAGGAAAATCCTGCGAGCTCATCTGCGGGCTACACTGGGGACTCGGGGACTCCCTGCCCTCCGACACCCGCTACCCAACCTCGGACGCCAGTCGCGCCCACCCCCACCCGGCGCCACGTCTCCGGGTCTCCCCGTCTCCCCGCGCCTCTCAGGCCCAGGGGCCTGTGCGTCGGCCCCTCCGCGCAGCCGCACCCCGCCGCCAGCGACAGAGGCTCAGCCAATCCCCTCGCGCCTTCCTCCGCGCCCGGCCCACCCGACTTCCGGCCCCGCGCCAGCCCGCTCGCCCACGCCCCCTCCCCTCGAGCCCCCTTCCACGCTGGGGCCATCTTGGTGTCGGGACGCCTGGTCCAGTGATTACGATCTGCGGGATGGAGGGGAACATTCATTACGGGATTACGGGGTGGGGGGGCGGGTTATCGAGGCCAAGGGTACGATGGACGGGGTAGAGTCAAGTCACTGTCTCGCTTTGGAAAAGAGAGGTGAAATCTTTAAAGGCAAGAGTGAGGAAGGAAGGCGCCGGCAAGGCACGCTCTCTTCTGCAAGGCCGGCGGCTGGCAGAGTTATGGTTCCCACGCGAAGGCGCGCGGAGGGTGGCGTCTTGCCCAAGGGGCGATGAGCTCCGACCAGCCCGCCAGAGGAGAGGCGGAGGGCTGGCAGCCGGGCCCGGGAAGTGGGTGAAAGGGCGGAGGCGGGGCCCCTCGGGGCGCCGCCCCTGGCTTTAAAGGCCGGGAGGTGGGCGGGCGCCTATCCTCGTCGTTGGAGGGGAAGCCTTGCGTCCTTGCTCGCTCGCAGCCATGGCGCTGCTCCGAGGTGAGCGTCGGTGGGGTCTCTCTGTAGGGGGCTTGACGAAAGCCCAACCCGGAAGGATTGTTGGGGTCAAGGAGAAAACATACTTGTGAGGCACTAGGGACAGCGATTTCGGTGCAGTTTGCAGCTGAGGGTCGAGACCAAGGCTTGCTTCTGACCTTGAAGGTCATTACCCTTCTTCGCGCAGACCACCCTTCCCCCCACGCGGTCCGTTTTGTTTTCAGCTGTTAGGAAAATTCGGGCGGCGCCGGAAGCACCGGGGGCCTCGGGCGGAGGGCTGCTTCGCAGAGGAGTCCCCACCTCCGAACAGGTCCTGGTTGCAGAAGTCTTATGGGGACGAATAGACGGTCTCTTAGGGTCTCCAGGGAATTTCTGCCCCAGTGACCTGCTCCGCCACATGCTTGGTGGCATTCTATTGCAAGACCAGCTTATTCCCTTTCCCTTCCGTTACTTTAAATTGATTCCAGGAAAGTGCAGTCACTAAGTACATAAATTCTACGGTTATTAACTTAAAAAAAAAAAAAAAAACACCTGTAAACTCCCTTCTCATAACAAATGGTCACAGTCAATGGAATTTTAACTTTCAGGAACAAGAAGAACCAATCCCCCAGTTTTTCTATTAGCATGCATCCCGTTGCACCCAAGGAATCGTTCTCTTACTGCTGTTTGGCTTTTTTGGGAATGTTTGTGTATCCTTTCAAGGCAACTAGGCGTGCCTGCCAAATCTATAAACAGAAATGGATGCTGTAGGAGTAGTTTTCCTTAATTTGTCCTGCTTACTGTCTGTAGTTTCTCTAAATGAGTTAATATTTAACCTGAGACAGGAAGGCAGTGTTCCGGTTTTGCGTTCTAGTGGGATTTTTTTTCTGTGCTGTCACATCAGCGCATTTTGCAAGTCCCTTGGCAACCACCGATCGTAATTGCTGTCTACATAGTTTTGTCTTTTCCAGATGGCATATAGTTGGAATCATATAGTCGGTAGCCCTTTTAGATTGGCTTCTTTCATTTACCAGTGTGCATTTAAGCTTCCTCCATGTGTTTTCTTTTCTTTTTTTTTTTTAAGATTTTATTTATTTATTTGAGAGAGAGAGAATGAGAGAGAAAGAACACATGAGAGGGGATAGGGTCAGAGGGCGAAGCAGACTCCCTGTCAAGCGGGGAGCCCGACGCGGGACTCGATCCAGGGACTCCAGGATCATGACCTGAGCCGAAGGCAGTCGCTCAACCAACTGAGCCACCCAGGCGCCCCTTCCATGTGTTTTCATGACTTGACAGCTCATTTATTTTTATTGCTGAGTAACGTTCTATTGTATGGATGTCCCACATCCATTCACCTGCTGTACGACATCTTGTTTTCTTACACGTTTTGGCAATTATGAATAAGCTGCTATAAACATTTGTGTGCAAGAGTAGTGATTGCTAGATCATATGGGGAGGATAGGTTTGGTTTTAGTTTTTCTAAGAAACAGTGAAACTGTCTTCCAGAGTGCTTGTCTTTTGCATTCCCGGCAGCAACAGTTTCTTTTGCTCTGCATCCTCACCAGCATTTGGTGGTGTTGGTGTTTTGGATTTTAGCCATTCTAATAGTTGTGTAGTGGTATCTCATTGTTATTTTAATTTGTATGTCCCTAATGACATAGGATGTTGAATATATTTTTCATACGGCTATTTGTCATCTTTATGTCATCTTTCATGAGGTGTCTGTTAAGAGTTTTTACCCACTTTTTAACTGGGTTGTTGGTTTTCATTTGTTGAATTTTAAGATGTATTTGTGATGAGGGAGTAGAAGGCTAGCTGAAGACAAAGCATAAGCTGGACATCCTGCAACTTCCCCCCATCCCCCACTCCTGGGTGGGCCCTGTGTGACATTCTTCCAGGAGTCTCCCAACCATCTTCATGTTAATACCTTGCTAGAGGGGAAAACAAGGGCAAGGCCTCTGGTATCTTGTAGGTATCTTTGTAGGTGGGTCCTCGTTAGCATATGAAAGTTCTTTTGAAACCTCCCTTTTCCTTACATCCCCAACTCCCGAGTATATATAATCAGCCACTCCACAAGACCTTGTTGCAGCAGCTCTCTCTGCGCGGGTAATGTTATCGTGGTTAAACCAAAGACTTCTCAAGAATTTTTTTCTTGGTCGTCGGCTCCGGACCTTATCCGTATATTGAATACCAGTCGTTAATCAAATAAGTGTTTTTTTAAGTACTCTTAGCTTGTGGCCTGTTCTTTTCATTTACTTTTATGTGTCTTTTGCAGAGCAGAACTTTAAAAAGATTTTTATTTAACAGAGACACAGTGAGAGAGGGAACACAAGCAGGGGGGAGTGGGAGAGGGAGAAGCAGGCTTCCCGCTGAGCAGGGAGCCCAATGTGGGACTCGATCCCAGGACCCTGGGATCATAACCTGAGCCACCCAGGCGCCCAGAGCAGAACTTTTTAATGACGTTCACCTTACCACATTTTTCTTCCATGGATCAGACTTTCGGTGTTGAATCTAAAAAGTTACCACCAAGCCCACAGTCACCTAGATTTTATCCTATATTGTAGAAGTTTTATAGTTTTGCATTTTACATTTAAGTCTATGAGCCATTTTGAGTTAATTGTTGTGAAAGGTTTACAGTCTGTGTCTAGATTTTATTTTTTAATTATTTTTGCAAGTGGATGTCCATTTGTTACAGCACCATTTGCTGGAAAGACTACCCTCTCCATTGAGTTAACCTTTGTTCCTTTGTCAGACTTTGAGGTTGTGCCCATGTTTTTTGTTTTCTTTTTCCTCTCCAGATGGTAAAATTTCTGTGTACCTATCTTCAAAGTCACTGAATCATTTCCATTCTTCTCTGAAGCCCATTCATTTTTTTTTTTTTAAGATTTTATTTGTTTATTTGACAGAGAGAGAGACCGCGAGACCAGGAACACAAGCAGGGGGAGTGGGAGAGGGAGAAGCAGGCTTCCCACGGAACAGGGAGCCCGATGCGGGGCTTGATCCCAGGATCCTGGGATCATGACCTGAGCCGAAGGCAGATACTTAACGACTGAGCCACCCAGGGGCCACTGCGAAGCCCATTCAGTGGATTTTTTATTTCAGATATCTTTCAGTTTTAGAATTTCCATTTTGATTGGTTTTTTTTTTTTACAGTTTCTGTTTTCTTTGCTGAGATGGCTTATCCTTTATTATAAGCATATTTTCCTTTATATCCTTGAGCATAGTTACAATAGATAACTGCTTTTAAAATCCTTGTCTGCTAATTCTAACATTTGGGTCATCTTGGGGTTGGTCTCTGTTGATTGTCTTTTCTCTTAGAATGAATCATATTAAAAAACAAATAAAAAATAAAAGAATGAATCATATTTTCTTGTTTCTTCATATGTGCATTGATTTTGGATTGTAGCATGGATGCTGCATATGAAACATTGTAGATCCTGAATTCTGTTATGTTCTTCCAAAGCATGTTAATTTATCAATTGTTTTGTTGGCTATTTATTTTTGCAGGCAGTTAATTTGGCTGAACTCAAACTCTGTCTCCCCTCTAGAGGGCAACAGCTCAAATCTAAATTCAGTTCTGTTTGTTAGCCTTAGCTAAGGTGTTTGTAGGGGTGCATGGTTAAAGGGTCAGCCAGATATTTAGACAGAGGTCGTATATATGATTTGGGCTCCTGCCTGTGGTCCTTTCCTTTCCCAGATTCATTCTCATTTACCAATGGCTGTGGTTGCCATGAACTCAGTTCTCTGAGTCTTCAAGCCAGTAAGACTGAGCTTGAGTTCTAGCCATTCACGTGGTGTGGACTGTTTGCCTTCAAGTCAGAGGCCATAAATAAATGGGACACTTACCCTGTACTCTTCCCTTCTTCCATATCTCCTCCATATCTGCCTAGTTTTGTTCATTCTCCAAGGCCTTCAGGTAGTCATTCTTCTATACCGTCATCGTTATTTGCAGGAGAGTTGATCAGATAGGAGCCATGACCACACGCAGGCTGTAATGAAATTAGGAAGAAGACATGGGAAGGGGACAGAAAAATGAAATAAAATATCAATATAAAAATAGGTAAACTATTAAGCAAGGAGGTTTAGAGGACATTTGCAAAAATTCAGGAAGGTATAGTGGCACAGAATAACCCATCAGAACAAAACATCTGTAATGCACTGAAATAATATTCATGGTCTTGTAAATATCTGAATATTAATATCTGTAAATATTAATTGGATTTGTTCCAAATCATAGTTGCATATGTTAGGAGTAACATTCTTTTATTTTTTAATGTTTGGGATTTTTTTTTTAAGATTTTTAAAATTTATTTTAGAGCATGAGCAGGGGGAGGGGCAGAGGGGAGAGAGAGAGAATCTCAACCAGACTCTGCGAGGAACCTGAAGCAGGGCTCCATCTCATGACCCTGAGATCCTGATCTGAGCCAAAATCAAGAGTCAGATGCTTAATAACCAACTGATGCCTAACCTAACTGACTGCGCCACCCAGGTGCCCCTCCTAAAATTCTTTTATAATGTGAGTTTCTCTAAGTAGGAATGAAAGGAGAAGTTGAAGTTTTTCTGTTTTGTTTTGTTTTGTTTTTTAATTTTTTGACAGAGAGACAACGAGAGAGGGAACACAAGCAGGGGGAGTGGGAGAGGGAGAAGCAGGCTTCCCGCTGAGCAGGGAGCCCAATGTGGGACTCGATCCCAGGACCCTGAGATCATGACCTGAGCCGAAGGCAGGCGCTTAACAACTGAGCCACCCAGGCGCCCCTTTGTTTTTTGTTTTTTGAGTTTTTTTTAGGATAGGTTGAGTTTGTTCCACGAAAGAGATAATCTCCACTAACGTAATCGGGAGAATTGTACTTAAATACCAAGAGTGGTATAATGTTTGTATGGCCTCAATTACAGGTTAGTATCTTGGCACAAACCCATTGTTAAAGGTCCCATAATTTCTTGGCAGGACATGGAAATGTGAGCTCAGATTGTTTTGGAGGAAGCCAATGTATGCAAAGCACCAAGCACGAGGGCTGTCGCATACTGAGTGCCTCCTGTGTGCGCCACTGTACTCTTTACCTTGCAGGATTGTTGGGAAGATTAGATAGTATATGAAAAGTGATAAAATGTCTAGTGCTTTGTTGGTGCCTAATAAATGTTAGTGTGATGAAACGGCTGTATTGGGTGCTGCTTCCTGATGTGCAAATTTTGCCTCACACAACTCTAGTGAGCGTCACTCTCGTCGGAGACTTCTGTAACCCGTTTGGGGGGAGGCGGGAGTAGAGTGTCTCGGGAAGGAGCAATTTTTATTTCTTTGCACAAGGACATCAATTGGACTAACAGTAATACCATAAATTTATAGTCTTAATTTACATTAATATATGTATGGATAATTCCCCTTAATTTTTGTGGTTAGATCAGGAAATTCTGTTGTATTCTAAGTGACACGTTTTACTAGGATATTGGCAAACTAGAACGTCTTTAACCCCCCAGAATTAATGTCAAATAAAGAAGTGTTGGAAGAATGCCTTTTATTTACTTCAGATCTGGGGGATCTTACAGTTTAGCTGACCCCAGATCTGGAGGGGTTACCCGGGTAAAAGGTGATCTCTTTTGCCCATTTTCTTCCAAGGGTAAACAGTAATGGTTCATGTGATTTGAAATTTGTAATTTAGTCATCCTGTGTTTCCAAAAGTACAGGCGTATTTGGTTCACATTCAAAGCATTATCAACTCTAGAAACAGTTTTTCTTTCCTTTTTTTTTTTTCCCTAGAAACTATTTTTGTGACTTGGGGTGCATTTGGGTAGACTGGTGGATAGAAGACTGGGTAAGCTGGCTTAGCTCAGTAGGAGCAAAAGTCATACTTTGGGTTGTCCATTCATGGGCACACTGCTTCACACAGTGGAGGATGCCTTCTTACTCTAAGTTTTCTAGCAGAGGAGTTTTTTTCTTTCACGTCAGGAATTTTCTGTGGGGTGAGTGGTTGGCTTCAAACCTCAAGAGAACTTCTAATTTGGAGACTCTTGGACTCTGTGATTAGGCAACATACTTCACATCGAAGAAGCATTTTAGTTTTATTTTTTTAAAGATTTTATTTATTTATTTGTCAGAGAGAGAGAGAGAACAAGCAGGGGGAGCAGCAGGCAGAGGGAGAAGCAGGCTTCCCGCTGAGCAGGGAGCCCGATGCAGGACTCGATCCCAGGACCCTGGGATCATGACCTGAGCTGAAGGCAGACACTTAACCAACTGAGCCACCCAGGCGTCCCAGCATTTTAGCTTTAACCAAATGTTCTAACATTGTAAATCACTGGAGGACAAGAATGTTTTCTACCAGGATGGATTTACATTGCAGCATGCAGTTCTTGGGGCCAGCATAGAGGTATTGCTCAAACTGATACTCCTCCATTAAAAGACTGCTTCTGTGAGTGTGATTGTTCCATGTATTATTGTGTGACAAAAATTGTCTGAGTTCTAACTGAAAACAGTACCTAATACTAGGTTCCATAGTGAGATTATTTAAAGCATGTTAGGGACACTGACGAATCTGTCACTGCTTACAAATCTCTCTTCATTGCCATAGGTGTATTCATCGTTGCTGCTAAGCGAACACCCTTTGGAGCGTATGGAGGTCTTCTGAAAGACTTCACGGCGACCGACTTGACTGAGTTAGCTGCCAAGGCTGCTTTGTCTGCGGGCAAGGTCGCACCTGAGACCATTGACAGCGTCATTGTAGGCAATGTCATACAGGTCAGTAGGGCAGAAGGGAGGCATTCATTCTTACTGCTTTATGTTATCAAAAAGATAATTTCTTTAATATGTCTTAATGGTGAACTAGTTAGTAATAGTTAAAGATATTTATGATTTAAGTAATCCTGTGACTCTGGGAGCAATGGCATACATCATTCAAAGCCCCGTATAATCCGGAAGCCATATATCTGTCCCATTGGGGTTACATTTCATTGCTTCCTCTTTTTTTTTTTTTAATTTTATTTATTTATTTGACAGAGAGAGACAGCGAGAGAGGGAACACAAGCAGGGGGAGCAGGAGAGGGAGAAGCAGGCTTTCCGCTGAGCAGGGAGCCCGATGCGGGGCTTGATCCCAGGACCGTGGGATCATGACCTGAGCTGAAGGCAGATGCTTAACGACTGAGCCACCCAGGTGCCCCCATTTCATTGCTTCTTAATACCAGATTCATTTCCTTGACTTATCTAAAGTTAATTAGTTCTCTCTGTGTACCAACTAAGGAGGGTAGAAAACCTAGTCAATGTAACACATCTCCTATAATTTCTTAAACAGTAGGAGCTTGGTCAGCATTTGTTATGGGAAATAACTTCCTTTACCTTCTATCCTGCTATGTTAAGGTCTACAGAATAGATCATTCATTTGCAGACAATGAAAGCTGGATATTCCTTTGAAGTGTGGCCAAGAAGTGGGGGCTCCCTTCTTCCTCCCAGCCCTTGGTTTAACAGAGGCTCCATGTGGAACCACTGCAAGTCCTGGGGCCCTGTCACTGTTCTGCTGGCTCAGAAAGTGGTTGTTCCATACTAGGAGAGGCAGGCTGAGAAGACTGGAGGCTGCGGCCACCCCCTCCACCAAGTGCCCAGCTCCTGGGGCAGGGATAAGGCTCAGAAAGGGGTGTGCAATTTTGGCCACCCTGCAGCTCCGAGCCATGACTCAGAGATTTTGCTTCTGCCAAGAACTGCTTTGTTTGCGGTGGAGTCTAAAGGACTTCATTTTTTTTTTTCAGTGACACTTTTCCTTGCTTTAATATTTTTTGTCCTTTTCTGCTTTCGAAATGAGCTCTCAACTACAAAATATCAAACTACGCTCAAAACTGCCAGCCATTGACACGCTACCGAGAAGCTCACAAGTAAGGACAGCTAGCTGCCACAGGTGACAAGAGGTGGGAAGCGATTGAAGCAGTGGTTACAGATGTTCACGAGAAGCTAAAACTGTCCCAACAGGTTGTGCCCTGATGTCAGCACAGGTTAAACCAGTCACTATCTTGGTGTGTGGCCTCAGGGTGTTTGGGTTCAGAGTCTACATGGCAGTACGATTTCTTCCAGTTCAGAGTTCTTGGCTTGCACCAATCACAGGGTGGCCGGAGGCACCAGACCCATCTGTTAGCTTTTCAGAAATGCTGCCATAGACCTGATAGACGTCCTGAGAGACTTGGGGAGCTCTACACTTCAGCGACAGCATGTAATTTGGGTTTCCTGGCTGGATACGTAGCTCAGCCAAAATCCAAATGCCATTACTGAGCTTCAAGGATCGGTACAGCATGTCCCCCCTTCCACCTTCCTTTTGGCAAGAGTATAAACATTGTCATTTTGCAGTTTGCTGGAAACTGTCAGCATTTAATTGACATTCCTTAATCTGAAACCGAAGTTCTTTTTCGTTGGGAATAGCCTTCCCCGTTGCAAGGAAGACCTGGTGGTCCATTTTGAAATCTTTTGCAGAAAGCACATTGAGTGGGGTGAGACAGCTAAAGTAGAAGACGTGAATATTGTTTTTCACAGCCACCTGCAGGTTATTCAGAGGTTCCATCTTCATGACCGGACCTGAGGTGTTCAGAGGCAGGGAGACATCCATGCGCTGGGTTGGCATCAGCGGTATACGGTTGTCCAGAGGAGTGCTGGGGGTGACTGTTTGACTGGATTGCAAAGTCTGTCATGTGCTGCAGAGCTTTGTTGGTGAGGTTCATTTCCATAGAGGTGTGCCCTTGGCGATGAGTAAATATTCTGCAAATCTCCAAGCCTTTAGCTTTTACTGCAGGCAGCCAGACAGCCTTAGAAACTATGCATCTAGCAGGTCCCATGCCTGTCCCGTGGAGAGTGCTGACAGGTCAGTCAGACCACTGCTGACCGCAGCGGGAGTAGGTGGAGGAGCATAGGTTACAGGCCCTGATGATGGGATGAAAGACTGTCCTACCAGACCATCTAGTCCTCCTCCCAAGACACTGGCTACTCCCATCTGTATGGAGGACACCGGAAGCACATTGCCTGGGGGACTGAGGTCAAGGTTTAAAAGGTCTAGAAGGTCACCTTGAGAGGGGATAACCTGAGGCTTTTGCCAACAAGGCTGTCACCTGCATCAGTGCTCCCATGATGTATTGGCAAGTGTTTGCGACGGATTCCATGACTTCCTTCCAAAATGACAAAAGCATTGGGAGGCTTACACGGTACACCAAGGCCAAAGATCCAGTGTGGCAGATTAGCTCATCCAGCAGGGTTGGCACAGTATGATCTAGCTCCTCAGACATCAGTGGCTTCTCAGACTAGACTACTACTTTGCCTATGACAGGGTCTGTTGAGAGAAGACACCAATAAATATAGCCCTGGTCTCGAAGGTCAGGTTTATCAGAATCCCGTGTTGCCAAACTCAAGACTTGCTGTACCAGCTCCTGTGTTCCTGGTGGTTTGTTGAGAAACAGCTTCGCTATGACAGTAAGCAGAGTAAGCTGCACCTGGGTGCTTTCATCATGAAAACCCTCCAGGAAGCTCTCCAGTAACGCATCTGCATTGTCAGGTCTCAGCATATTCTCCCACCATCCAAATCATAGCTGCTCGAGCATCTGGTTCATCCAGCGAGTCTAAGTTCTCACACAGAGTGGCAATGATACTTTTGGACTTGTTGGGGTGTTTGCGGAAGATGTGTCTGATGACAACAGTGCCTCTAGGGCCACTTCCTTTGGTCTGGGTGAGATCAAGCAGTGTGCTTACATGGCGCTCTGCGGATTGCTCCACTTTGATGGCACACCGTCCCGTGGCCCACACAGCTTTTCGAGCAAAGTCAACATCCACATCTGTGGCATATTCCTTTAATTCTGCCAGAACCTGAACAGTGTTGACCTGAGATGCCAAGCGAATCATAATGTCCAGTTTCTCTAACATAGATGGGATCATTGTACTTCACAAAGAAGACTTCGATTTCCTGCTTCAAGATTTGGGGTCATTTTTGGACAATTAGATTGATATTCCCCAGGATGATGTGCTGCATCTCTGGTTCCCCGGAGAGCGAAGTGACCGGTGGAGGGGCCCAGTTCTTCAGCAGCATATTGTAGTTGTCAGAGTCTTGGGTGACAACGCTACACACTTCATTAGGGCTTTTACTGCGGAAAGCACCACTGCTGAGCTGGCTTGAGATAGCCGGGGAGTTACCCACGGACGCTGCAAGCCTTCCAGTCATCTTTAGGGTTGTGATTAGACAGGCAGCCCAACATGAAAGTCTGGCCCCATTCAGGGCTGTCAGCAGTGTAGTTTATAGGTTTTAGAATATACAGTTTATACGGCTTTTGTTAAATTGATTCCTAAGTATTTTATTCTTTTTGATGCTGTTTTTTGGGTTTTTTTTGAATAAGATTTTATTTATTTGACAGAGACAGCGAGAGCAGGAACGCAAGCAGGGGGAGTGGGGGAGGGAGAAGCAGGCTTCCCGCGGAGCAGGGAGCCTGATGCGGGGCTCGATCCCAGGACGCTGGGACCATGACCTGAGCCAAAGGCAGCCACCCAACCGACTGAGCCACCCAGGCGCCCCTTGATGCTGTTTTGAATGGAATTGTTTTCTCATTTCATTTCAGATTGTTCAAGTGTATAGAAAAATAATTGATTTTTGTATATTGATCTTGTACCGTGATTGCTGAACCCATTTATTCTAATAATTTTTTAGTTAATTCCTTAGGGTTTATTAGTATGTGACATTGTGGCATCTGGGAGTAGAGCTAGTTTTACTTCTTAAATCTCTAGTCTGGATTTCTTTTATTTCTTTTTCTTGCTTCATTGCCCTGTCTAGAATCTCCAGGGTTGAAGAGAAGTGACAAAAAGTGGATACCCTTGTCTTCTTCCTGATATTATGGGGGAAAACAGCCAGTGTTTCACAATTAAGTAAGATCTTAGATGTGGACTTCTTGTAGATGCCCTTTACCAGTTTGGGGAAGTTCCCTTCTATTTTTAGTTTATTAAGTGTTTTCCTATGAAAGGGCATTGGGTGCTTTTTCTGTGTCAGTTGAGATGATCAACCATTTTTGTTTTTTATTCTGTTGATATGATGACCCCATCTTAATACATGTTATCAATTCAGTAACATTAAACTCTTGGCCAACAGCACGTAACTAATGCCTGATTGAAGTTTCTCTAACACATATTTTCCCCCCGGGGCATATCACTGCCTTCTTCCACTTGGGCAGCGCTTCAGCACTAGGCCTGGGGCAATTTTGAACAGCAAAATCACCAACAAAAAGCACAGAAATGTGAAAAACATTGCAATAAATAGACGGCAGAAAGGACATTTGTTTTTGTTTTTTGTTTGTTTAGATTTTATTTATTTATTTGAGAGAGAGAGAGACGGAGCATGAGTAGGAGGGAGGGGCAGAGGGAGAAGCAGGCTCCCCACTGAGCAGGGAGCCCACATGTGGGGCTCAATCCCAGGACTCCAGATCATGACCTGAACTGAAGGCAGACACTCAACCGACTGAGCCACCCAGGCACCCAGAAAGGACATTTGTTTATAGCATGAGAACTAAAACAAGAAGGCTAAGTGTCCCCTTGTTCATCCTCAGCTAGGAAAGTGTGTATTATATTAGGCGACTAAAATTTCTCAATTTTCCTCCACCCTGCACATACCTGGAAATAACCACAGAAGTGCTGCAGGTGTTGATTTGGGGTTACAAATAAATTTTAACACACAGGTGAACTTGCGAGTATGAAATCTATGAATAATGAGAATCGACTGTATTTTGAACTTATGTTTTGAGAGGTCTTAAAGGTACTAATGTATTCTGTCCTAAGCGGTTCTAATATATGAAAATAGCCTTATTATAAGGAGTAATTAAATGAGTTACAGAGGTCAAAAAGGTATAAACTTCCAGTTATAAATAAGTAAGTCTTGGGGCTGTAATGAACAGCATGATGACTATAGTTAATAATTCTGTACTGCACATTTGAAAGATGCTAAGTAAGTAAATATTAAAAGTCCTTGATGGGAGAAAAAGGAACTCAAAGGCTGGATTTTGCCGCTGCTCTGGTCTCCAGGCAGAATCCCTGAGGCATCCAGATTATAACACTCCTCCAGCTCCCTCAAGGACTTCTTTTAATGCTTTACCACTGTAGCTTTGTTCTTGTTCCTGTTATTTTCCCCTGATAACCATAAACACCTCCACCCAAGATACATGTTAGCAATCATCTTTCAAATATGTGGCCCATTGATACACATCTGAAGGGTCTCAAGACTCATGTTGTACTAGACAGTAGTAAAGAACCTTATCCTAATGGCAGCTAGCCCCTCAAGGTCCTGGAAGCCCCCACTTCCAAATTCCTTAGAGACTTACGCTCTTCCTAACCCCTCACATCAGTCCTCCTCACAAAAAAATTTTTGGTAACTATATAATGTGGTTTTGGAATATAGGTGAGGTTCGGTGGGGTGAGGTCCAGAGCCAACGACCATTCTTGAGACGTCTTTGGTGCAAAATGGTGGCTTTATTAAAGCATGGGGACAAGGACCTGTGGGCAGAAAGAGCTGCTGCATTGGGGTCCTGAGTATAAAGGGGAGTTGGGGAAAGTAAGGAAAAGGGAGGTTTCAAAAGGGTTTTCATATGTTCAAGAGGACCCACCTACAAGAAACCGGACGCCTTGCCTTTGTCAAGTTAAGGTTGTTTTTCCCTCTGGCAAGGCATTAACATTAACATAGCTGGGAGATTCCTGGAAGAATGCCACACGTGTCCCACCCAGGAGTGGGGGATAGGGGGAGGTTGCAAGGTGTGTCAGCTTAATGCTTTGTCTTCAGGTAGCCTTCTGCTCCCTCATCATATATATGACAGATGTTAACTAGACTTATCGTGGTGATAATTTGCAATATATACAAATATCGAATCATTATGTTGTACACTTGAAACTGATATGTTATATGTCAATTATACCTCAATTGAAAAATAAAACAGGAATAGGAACTTTTTAAAAAACATAAGTTCTGACTAAGATTTATGGAATGTTAAAAAGCCAGAAGAAACCCTAGAGATTTTATAGAACTCCAGGCCTCTCTTAACACATGAGGAAACCTCCAGAGAAGTTTCAGAGTTGAGGCAGGTAGTCTGTTAACAGTCCTGGGCTAGAATGCAGATCCCCTGACTTCTAGTTCAGTAGTCTTCCTCCTGTACTAAGCTCTTCCCACAAATCTTGATGTTAAAGGAGATGTAAAGTCATTTCGTGGGAACACTTAGAGAGTAGATAACAAAAAGGGGGGGGATTACCACTTTCTGGAATACAGTGGCCAAAGTAGAAGACGTCTGGTTTCTAAGCATCAGGTAGGACCACATTCAAAATTTACATACAAGTAAGTATGTATTCTGTCAGTAAGATCTCCAGAAATTATCTGTATTCAGTCAGTTGGGCTAGAATTTAACAACTCAATCATAACTCCTCTACTCCTTTTATTTACAAACGAGGCACTTGTGAATCCATTTGCAGATAACTTCCCATAGGAGGAACTTGAGAGTTCGATAAACCAAAGTTCACACTGCAAGTGAATGACAGTCTAGATTAGATTCCAATCCAGATCTCCTGACTCCTGGCCTAATATTCTTTCTATTACCTCAGGCTCTCCTGCTTGATTTTATAAAACACCTATTTTGCCAGTCTGGACATTAGAGTATTATAAGAGAAGTGACTCCAAAACAGAAAGCTCTGGCAAAAGAATATCCCCTGACCAGCAATCGTTTTTTAAATTTTTTTTTTTAATATTTATTTTGAGAGAGAGAGAAAGCGCCCGGGCAAGCACATGCCTTGGGGGGGGGTGGGCGCAGAGGCTGAAGGAGAGAGAGAATCTCAAGCAGACTCCCTGCCTAGCCCTGAGCCTGATCTCACAGCCCTGAGATCAGGGAAAAGTGCTTCTTAAAAAGGGCAACTGCAAAACACACTCTGCAACATTTACTTGTTTTTTCTTAAAGTGGAAGAATGGGTGGGATCCAAGGAATCAAAGCAGTAGATGTGATGTAGGAAAGATGTTAGGGTTCGAAGCCGACGGCCAAGAAAGAATTCTTGAGACATCTTTCGTGCAAAAAGGTGGTTTTATTAAATCACGGGGACAGGACCCATGGGCAGAAAGAGCCGCACCAGGGTTGTTAGGAGTGGCCCATTATATACTTTCAAGTCAGGAGGGGGTTAGGGATAGCCTAAGTCTCTAAGGAATTTGGAAGCGAGGTTTCCAGGACCTTGAGGGGGCTAGCTATTGTTGGTGAAAGGTCATTTATTACTGTCTAATAAAACCTTAGTCATGAGACCCTTCAGATGAGTATCAGTGGGTCGTATGCTTGGGGGATGATTGCCCACATGTAACTTGGGTAGAAATAAAGGAGGTTTCCAAAGGAATTTTTATATGTTGAGACTACAGGATCCTGGCGGTGGGGCTAAGATTGCCTTTTGCCCTTGGGAAAGTATTAACATTGAGGTAGCTGAGTTCCTAGAGGAATGTCACTGTGTTTCAAGGACTTGTCAATGGGCTATAAGTAGTAAGGAAATTTAAAAATTTTTTTTTCTGCCTTTGTTTCCCACATCAGATGGACCAATGAGGAACATCTCCAAGTTGTTTTAGGAACTAAAGCAACAAAACTCAAAGCTAAAATTTCTAATCAAGAAATTCTTCTAACAACTGTGGTTTGTCTTGTGGATTACCACCCCTACTCCCCCTTTAGGGGAGAAGCATGACTTACTCCTGTAAACCAATTACTCCTCAACAAGAAACACCTTATAAGGAACATAAGTTTTGAATCCCATCTGTCTACCTGCAAAGCTCAGGGATGGAATGAGGCAAATACCCACAAAAACAAACACAAAAACCCAACAACAAAACCTCAAATGAGGACAAAGATTTGTCCAAAAGTGTCTGGGCTGGAAAGGCTGGGAGACCATAAAACATGAAAGACAACTGTGTATCCGAGCCCTGGTTTGTGTTAATATATGGGACAACCAGATAGTTTAAACCTCTGTGGCTAAGCCCATTCCTCTATTTATATAGACAGACAGCTAGCACTGCTCTGTATAGGTATCAATATACTGCTTTGTCCTTTACGATCTATTTGCCACATTAGGCTGAAACCGCTAAGCCAGGTTTTTCCACTAAGGCTAAGAACACTGCATCCATGCAGGGATGAGAAGCTTACCGCACACTCACACTCACACATACCAAGTCTACCAGCCCGTGGGAGTCCACTTCCGGCTCTGCATTTATTTTATGCCGTTGTATCTTTTATATGTGTTCTTTCACAATTTTCCGTATCATGGTAAACACAGTAAAAAAATCTCAACACGTTCACACCTGGTTCTGGTTACTCAGCAATAGCATTTGTGTGCCATTGAACAGGAGACCAGGGGCACCTGGGTGACGCAGGCGGTTGAGCGTCTGCCTTCAGCTCAGGTCGGTCCTGGGATCGAGGCCCGCATCCGGCTCTCTGCTGAGCGGGGCGTCTGCTTCTCCCTCTGTGCTCTCCCTCTCTCTCTCTAAATAAATAAATAAATTCTTTCAAAAAAAAAAAACCAGGAGACCAAAACCACAGAACAAGTGCACAGGTTGGGTTATAGGATCAGAAATAGATATAAAAACACCAAAGTGCAGATTTCACAAGAAATAAGTGTCCACCTCCTAAGTCTGTAGCGGGCTACCTGCCATCACTGCTGTTCTTGGACCCCAAAGCAGGGCCAATGCTGTTACTCTTGAACCTGGGGTCCTTGTTTATCTCTCCCCTCCCTAGGTCAACAGGTCTCAGCCTCAGTTTCCCATTATAATCCCCTGGGTGCTTTTAAAAGTATCTGCTGATACCCATGCCTTGCCTGCACCTTTCTGGTTTCATTGGTTTGGTTCGACTCAAGCATTGCTATGTTAATCAAGCTTTCCTGGTTATTCCAGTGTCCTTCGATACTTTCTCTGTTAAGGAACATACTATTTTAAGATAGCCCATTCTGTTCTTAAACAGTTGTAATTATTATAAATTTCTGTCTTATATGAAGACTTAATATAAGGATTTCTCGTACTTTGTATGTTTAAAAACCAACTGACCAAATTAGTTTTTATTCAGACAATAAACCCCTGTATTACGTAAAATATACGCTGTACCTATATGCATTGCATCCTACCTTAGAGCCATATAGTTTATCATTTTTGATAGATTGCCCACATTTCCGTATATTTTGTCCTTCTTACTGCTAAGATTTATAGAGGACATTCTTTTTCTTTTCCCTCCATTCCAGAGTTCTTCAGATGCTGCATATTTGGCCCGGCATGTTGGTTTGCGTGTTGGCGTCCCAAAAGAGATCCCAGCTTTCACTGTTAACCGACTCTGTGGCTCTGGTTTCCAGTCCATTGTGAGTGGATGTCAGGTATGGGCAAAATTTGATTACTTCTCTGAAAATACGTTAAAAGCTATTGGAGGAAATGCCCCACTTCAGTATAACACTGCAGGCTCTTATGGTGCTTTATTAGCAAAGGTCAGTATTTGATTTTTCTTGGAAAAGTATTCACAGGAAGAAAATAGTTTCTTAAAAGCTATTCACGGATCTTTGAAAGACATGCTAAATGGAATAAGGGAGTCACAAAAGGACAAACACTGTATGATTTCACTTATCTGAGTAGTCAGATTCATAGAGACAGAAAGTAGGACGGTGGTGGCTGGGGCTGGGGGAGGAGAGAATGAGGAGTTCATGTTTAATGGGTACTGAGTTTCAGCTTGCAAAGCCAAAAAGATGTCTGGAGATGAGTGGTGGTTGGTCACACAGCAATGTGAAGTACTTAATGAACTGTACACTTAAAATTGGTTACAATGGTAAATTTTAAGTTATGTATATTGTATCACAAATTTTTTTAAAAGCTAATCACAACTGTCATTTTTATCGAGTTCTTCCTATGTGCCCGACCTATGCTAGATTTACAGTCAGTATCTCACTTAATCTTCACAACCATCCAGGGAGGCAGGAACTATCCCTATTCCCATTTAACAGGCAAGGAAACTGATCAGTAAGGTGACTTAAGTTATAGAGGCAGAACTTCAACCCAGGACTGTGAGAGTTCCCTGTGAGGCAGTGTGAAACTGAATAAAGACTATAAGGCTAGGAAGAGAGTTGGAGGATTTAGGGGATGTATTCCTTTTCTGGAAGCAGTGTCATTCTTGATCTCCTAAAGCACTTTTCTTTTGACTGCTGTGATTCAGTGACCCCTTACACTTGGCTTTCTGTGATGCATGCATTTGCCTCACCTCTTTGATGATGTTTTAATCACCTTTGTATCTCCCTAGCTGCTCAATAAATATTTTAATGAATCAAAAAAAAAAGAAATGTATTCCCTTTTTGCCGGAGTCCAGCTCCAGCCGGGGTGGGTCTCTCGTAGGAAAGGACGGCATCGGCAAATGAGGAGACACAGACACAGGATCAGGTTGCAAGCATCACCTCCTGACAGCCTCGGAGGAACTTTATTTATATGCTAGGATATTTTTGTTTTTCCAAATCTTAGATCAGTTTCTGGATTACAGCCATAGCCTTCTTTCATTTTTCCTTTGTAATGATTAACATGACCTTTATTGATTTCTGCTTATTGGCTTTCGCAGTACGCAAAGGTGCTAGACAGAGCGTGACCGTCTTGTTATTTTGTTCTATAGAAACTAATTCTTTGTGGAATTAGTTTCATTATGATTGCTTAGATAGGAGTAACTAAGATGAGTAGTCACTTTATCATGAAACCCCAGAAATATTCCCACAATTATAAAGATTGCCATAAACAAAATGAAAGAGAATAGCAGGAGCCAGCTGTGGAGTCTCCTGTTTTCAGGATCGTCCCCCATACTTGGACTTTGTCAAACAGCATGAGTAGCTTGGCTCGCGCCACTTTTTTAAGGGATGGATACTTGGGCAAATACATTTGTTCCCTTGAGCACAGGGAAAAGGGATACACTGAAATCCAATTTTATTTGTCCAGATCTTCATTTCTTTACAGAATGAAGGACATGGACATATTGTAATGGATAAATTACTTTCATGTTAATTTATTTCTATAAAGATATATCTGAAACAGTGGTCGTGATTTTCCTAGAAGTCACTGAGAACACTGGGCTCTGGAGGCTTGTTACTTGCTTCTTTTCTGAGAAATGCAAATAGTGGAAAGCGTGAGAAGGACGAAATGGCTTTCTCTTTATGAGCCTCCTCGATTAACCCAGTTCTTGTAAGTCTGTGGTCTGCTTCAGACTCCTCCATTAATGGGATAAATTCTACTTCCATCTTCTTAAAGGATTTATTCTTTATCCTCAGCTAACAATCTGTATATTATGCCAGGCATTAATATCTCCGCTGATGTTCAAGATTTATATTGAGGGTCAGAATTACCATTCCTTGCCAAAATGTAGATAGAATTTGTCACTTGTGCACACACAATTGAAGTCTGTTAGGTTTTTTCCCCCTTGTATCTTGGGAATGGATGCTGGAGCATTCGCTTTACAATTACTTGACAAGTATTTCCTTTTGAGAGTGTAAATCATTACATGTACTATTAGTTTACTGCTGAACATGTACCTCTGTTACAATAAAAGGTTTTTTGTTGTTGTTGCTCATTCGTTTTCAAATAGGAAATTTGTGTTAAAGATGCTGAAGTTGTCTTGTGTGGAGGAACTGAAAACATGAGCCAGTCTCCCTACTATGTCAGAAACATACGTTTTGGAACCAAGTTTGGATCAGATCTCAAGGTTGGAACCATTCAAATGTTTAAAAATTATTTGTCATGCTTTTATGCTAATTTAATAACACCATTTTGGGACAGAGAAAACAAATTTTGTGGTTTTTTGCTTTTTTTTTAAAGATTTTATTTATTTATTTTGACAGAGAGAGAGACAGTGAGAGAGGGAACACAAGCAGGGGGAGTGGGAGAGGGAGAAGCAGGCTTCCCGCTGAGCAGGGAGCCCGAAGCAGGGCTCGATCCCAGGACCCTGGGATCATGACCTGAGCCGAAGGCAGACGCTTAACGACTGAGCCACCCAGGCGCCCCAAGAAAACAAATTTTGAAATGAATTTCGTTACAAGATACAAATGACTTGAAATTTGTAAACTTTCAAAACCCCAGTTTGGTTTTTAGTTTTGACATTTTAACCCACATTTAAAAAATCCAAATAGACTTTATCTCAGCACACCTCTGGTCATGGAATTAATACCTGGGGAGACAGATGAAGGGAAGAGGCAGATAAAAAGATAGGCAGAGGTTGAAGTAATTAATTTCTCTACTGAATAAATGATAAACCCAATAATTTAATCTTTACCATGATTTATGGAAGTTTTATTCCTGGAGCAGTCTTCATTGAATAGATATCGTCATCACAGAAAACGTTCTCTTTGGTTTTTTTTGTTTGGTTGGTTTTTGGGGCTTTTTTATTTTTATTTTTTATTATTATTTTTTTTTTAAACATTCTCTTTGAATATAGACGATATTGTCCCAGATCAGTCCGACGAAAACTGATCTTCACATCTTTGAGAGGGAATGACAAGGGTATGACAATATTGATACCGAACACTAGGGTGCTGTCGCTCCCATGTGAAAGGGCTGATGACATTCTCTGTTGTTAGCATTTCCCAACAGCGTTGACTGGTTTACACTGTTCACCCAGTTTGTCCCCTGGCCTTTTTGAAAGTTGGAAAGAATAAGACTTAGAAAATATGAGATAGTCTTTTAGACACCAAGTATATTTGAGAACACCTTGGGAAAGACAGGTCGGTGACTCGAAGGTGATGAGACAGTGGAGAGGACACAGAAGGGGCACACTTACCAGAGATTCACTGGATAATAAGTAACAACTCTTCTGTTCTTCGAGGAACGTGTACGGGGTTCCTCACAGTAGTCGACGGAACCAGCTGTTCTGTTGCTGAAGGAGCTCACGCACACTCCCGCTGCCGAGCTCAGAATCCTGGTTCACAGAGGTGGCCACAGGGAAACATCGCATGAGGGCCCCGTGTTAGGTTTCTTACAAAACGTAGCCTTTGGGGTTTCTTTTCTTTTCTTTTTTTTTTTTTTTAAGATTTTATTTATTTGCGAGAGAGTGCAGAGGGAGAAGCAGACTCCCTGCTCAGCAGGGAGCCTGATGTGGGGCTCGATCCCAGGACCCTGAGATCATGACCCGAGCCAAAGGCAGATGCTTAACCGACCGAGCCACCCAGGAGCCCTGGGGGTCTCGTTTTTTATTGTAGGAAAACTTCTGTGTCCTCTCCCTGCACATTTAGTGCTGTCGCCTCTCTTTAGAGCTCTACAGTTAAGAGAGAGAGGAGAACATGTGCATCGGGTGTTTTTTAAAATGTCCCAGAACCAAAGATGAGTAGTGGTAATAGTAAATGCTATCAGAAAATCTAATTTTACTTTCATTTATTGGAGCTGTTATTTAAATGTAAAGATGTTATAGCATATTACTTTCAGAAGATATGCTTTAATCACTTTATTATTCATGTCTTTTAATAGCTGGAAGATGCTTTGTGGTCAGGATTAACAGATGAGCATGTCCAACTCCCCATGGGAATCACTGCAGAGAATCTTGCTGCAAAACATAATATAAGCAGAGAAGACTGTGACAAGTATGCCCTGCAGTCACAGCAGAGGTGGAAAGCTGGTCAGTGAGATTGGACGTTAGAAATATCTACAGAAGAAAACTGGGGCGGGGGGGG